AGTTTTATTCTCCCACACCTCACTTCCCTCAGTCCTTTATTCTCAAGCTGAGGTGTCTGCTGAGAAAAGCTGCTCTGCGTCTCCCTGGTCTGCTGGGAGGGGGGGCACTAGCTTCGCATCTCCCCGGTCTGCTGGGGGGAAGCAGCTAGTGCGGGGTTGCCTCACCCCGTTTGTAAGTAGGGATCCGATGTAAGTCGGATCCATGTAACCCGGGAACTGCCTGTATAGACTAACAAAACATGTACATGGTATCATGAGCTTATCATGAGCTCTGCTACCCCCTGAAGCTCCTAATCATAACTTAGTTCACCCTAGTAATAGTTAATCTGATCCTGCTAAAACAAAAGGAAAAACTATGTAGCACTTTAAAGACTAACAAGATGGTTTAATAGGTGATGAGCTTTCGTGGGCCAGATCCACTTCCTCAGATTTAGTTTTAGTTCATCCTAGTATGATGAATTCTTTCCTACGGTGTGTTTTACAATTATAATATAATACCAATGTCAAAACTAGACCATGATAAAAAAAATAATCACACGATAGAATGTTCATCTAGAGGAAGGGATTGTGAATATTTTTCTTCCTTGCTTAAATAAAACAGAAGTTAACTGTTTTTGCAGGTGAAAACATACCCATACAAGAAGCAAGAGGTTTCTTTTCACTGTTCCACAATACCCCAACATCCCAACAATGATAAGGAAACAGCAGACAGCAATCATGACTGGATGCACCACGGGAAAATAAGTCAAAATGACAGCCTCCTCCACCCTGAAAATCAAAACCAGAATTGAAATAATAAAGTACTACCCTAAAAATCAAAGCACCTCATTGTAAAATAATATTACAGTCTAAAGAGCCAATAGTGTTTACTGTATGTTATATTATTTAAAACTCAAGAGACAACTGGCTGAGAAAGAAGAGGAACTACAAGGAGTCCTAAATAAGGTGGCAGAAGGAGCAGTCCAGAAAAAACACAAGCCAGCAGGAAATCACAAGCTGGAATCTCAGGTCACTGGAGTCAGAGCAAGTAGCCAAAAATAAAACAAACCCAGAAGCAGGTCCTGAGGGAGGAGCTGGAGACACTGAAAATGGAGCTACAAGACATTTCATGTTAACAGACTTGCTTCTTTATTTATTAGTTTATTGTTAGACATAAGTCTACATGGATAATGGCCTGAGAAACTGTGAAGGAAAAGTGGAGAGAGGCTGACAGAGAATTTGGCCAGAAAGGGGCTCCACAGGCAAATACGTGAGTTGACACCATGTCTGATTCCAACGATTGAAAGAAAAAAAGTCAGATACACATTTTAGCACACAGAATAACTGAGAGTTTCCTTTCCCATAGAAAATTTAATTAGGATGTCCTGCTATATTTGATAAACTGTGTAGCCCCATCATTCAACTAGGGGGATTATTAGGGTTAAGGAAAAGCTTACCTTGTTTCTGCAGTTAAAGTAAGGACATTGTTTAGGTAGTCCCTCATCCAAGCAGAAACACCCAACACACTGATGGACATCAGCTAAAAGAAAACAAAAACAATGTTATTTATCAAGCATTTAAAAAATAATGAAGGATCAACTCTCAAAAATATCCATTTTGTCATTTATTCAAACAACATTTTCCCATGTTGTGAGCTGGTTACCTAAGTTAATTAGAGAGGCAGTTATACTGATTATCTTCCTTCCAGTTTGTGCAGCTGTTACCTAGGAAGGCCTGCTCCTTGCTCTTCTACACAAAAGAGCAATTCTAATATTGGCTGCCTCCCCTCAAACATCCCCATAGAGGGAATTTACTACTGTTTTTAGCATCAATAACTCTTTCACAGAAACGCATAAAGCCAGCAACCTGTGAAGCATAATCCCAGACTTCACTAAAGGGAACATTAGGGATTTAAAGGGTTAACCAGTCACTGGGTAAGCATCAACCTTATTGGCATGCTTACCCAGTAACCAGTTAACAAGCAGCTTGGTCCAGCTGGAGCAACACCCCTGCTTGTAGTGTGGTGGGTCACCCATGCCTGTGGCGTGACACAGCAGGCTCAACCACAGGCAGGGGCTGCTCTAGAGTTAACTTGTAAAACATAACATTTAACTAGTTAACTTTTCATCAGGAATTGACACCCCAAGGGAACATAAGTACTAATCAAATCAACTTATTATGATTAGTAAAGAAGGATTGTGTCTTGCGGTTAAACTCAGAAGATGTGGGTTATATTTCTCACTTGGATACAAACTCATTGTGTTGCCTTGGGCAAGTCATTTAATCTCCACACCCGATTCCTCATCTGTCAAATGGGGCTAATAATCCTTTGTTTAGATTGTGAACTTTAGACCTTTTTGCCACTTACTCTATTTTGCTATTGATAACCACAGCAGATCTCAGATGCAGCCATTATCCACTACTCTAAAGCAAATAATTAATTTTGCATTATAGCAAAATAGCTCACCAATCATCATTGATCCCCTGCAAGCACAGTAACTGGGGTGCCACACATTGAGAGGGGGACTGTCAAGGCTAGAGTGATGGAACAGCCATTGACCTGCATCACAGGTTCTCAAACTTCACCGAATGATGACCCCTTTTGACACCAAAAATTACCACACAACCCAGGTGGGAAGACTGATCCCTGAGAGCACCTGACACTCCCACTACCCAAAGTGGGGGTTTAAAGTTCAAGCCTCACTGCTCAAAGTGTGGGAGCCAAAGCTGAAGCTCAAGGGCTTCAGCCCCAAGCAAGGGGGCGTGTAATCTGAGTCCCATCCCAGCAAGTCTAACCCAGCCCTGGAAACTCCATTAAAAGGGTCCACGACCCACAGTTTGAGAACTACTGCTTTACAGCATGCTGTGTTCGTAGCCAGTGAGTATGTGAGGATATCTCTGCAGTAAGCCAGCCAGTGAGCTGCCATGGCTCTCCACCCCAGCTTTCTCTGTACATAGGTTCAGAGAGTACCAGCCCAAGCAATGGGTCTTCTACTTAGCAATGCATCGATGATGCTTTCGTTAGTAATAGTGTCTTTTGAGGAGTCAGATTTTCCCATATCTAGTTCAGTCCTGGCTTCATGACTGTCCTGACAGTGAACAAAAATACTTGTGAGGAACTAGTCAACTGGTACAAAACTAATGCATTTGAATGGTTTCTCTGTGTCCTCATTACATTCTTGGGATTCTTTGCCTGCAACACACTTATAGTAGGCAATTTCTCCCTTAAAAATTTCAAGAGAAGTCCCAGTGGTTACTTCATCTCTTCTCTTCAAAATCACTGCACACAACAGAGAACACAATCCTGCTTTAAAGCAACATCTGCAGGAACTTTTGTGTTTAGTAGGCTGTGCGCATATTCCTTAAAAAGTCAGTGCAAGTTAAAATTCTATCACATGTCACTGCACGTTTTCTTTCGTTTGCTATGTGGGATCTATTTTGGTTGGGAAATTAGAAAAAGTAAAGAGCATTTTCTTCTACTGTTTAGACCTGCTGTTCAGGAAGCTATTAACAGAGTAAAAAGAAGAGAAGAATTGGGCTCATTCCTAAACCAGACCCCAGGAAATCCTGCCTGGGAAGATGAGACGAGGGACATAAGATGTTGAAAAAACAATGGATCTCTTGTTTCTAGCACTGACTACAGATATTTACAAAAGATACAAGATTACTGTACAAGCAAGTGTCCCTGGCATTTCTGACTTATGAATGAACCATTTTCCTATGGCATAATCAACAGGCAAATGAAATTAGTTTTAAAGCCCTCTTGATAAACATGTGAACTACGAAAATTGTAAACATTACTGTCTGGTTTAAAGTACAGTAGAAATTTTGAGATGGGGCTGTATTAGGCTCATTCTGTATTACTGGAAAGGCCTACACAAGTATGCAATAGAGGGGCAAAATCCATCAGATCCTGACTCCTCAATATTTTCCAGAAAATGTACAGCAAGTACTGCAGAGTAAACAGCAACAGAGAAAATATCATTTGTTAAACAATGCAGTGCTTTCTTCAGCACTAGACTAAGGAAGTATTTGGTTTTATACCATGCAGACATTTACTAAGCACTGGAAGATAAATACCAATTTTTTTCCACTTACAACTGACAACCCATCCAACAACTTTGTCACTGTTAATACTAACCAGACTCATAAGAACAACCTACATGTGAAAAGTTTAAGATCTCATTCATAATCCCATGAGCCATCCAGTTCCCCTTTGCTGCTCTCATTTAATATAGGAATATTAGATAGCATGTAATTAAATAGTCATGTAACCACATCAAATTTTAGCGGTTACATGATTATTCAATAGTCCCTGGGGAGTGGGGCCAGCAGCCAGTGCGCTCCCAGCCCCACTCCTGGGGAGGCCCCTGGCACCAAGGATGTTAACTAATGATTAATTTACTAGTCCAGTAGTTGATGGAGCCTGGGGTCAAAGTCCCCTGCTGACCCCAGGCTCCATGCTGTGCTGCCACTTTGAAGTACCCTCCCCCCCCCTTTGCTGCCTCTATTTGTTAACAGCAGGGGGGGGGGGAATTGACTAGTTGACAAATCCTTAACACAATTACCTGGCACCCCACACCGCTGACTCCTTATAACAGGCAGCAGCGTGGGATGGAAGGCAGGAGCCAGTCTGTGAGGGGAGCTGGTTTAAAAATCGGCTCCCCACACAAGACCAGCTCTGCCTGCCGTCCCTGTCCGTGAGGAGTCTGAGCTCCCTGTGGACAGAGGCTCCTCCCGCATCCCCGG